GTTCTTTATCTTGTGCACATGATACAAAATATGTTCCCGTACAATATGGGGCTGTCACTTCTTGCCAACCCAGCACCCTCTTCTTCTTCTAACCTGCTTTCTGAGGCTTCTGCTCTTCACCTCCTGCTCGCTGATGGAAACCTCCAGGGCAAAGCTGAAGGTTTCTTGGGGAAGCCAGGAAAGCCAGTATTTCATATGTGTCAGATTTGCTTGGTTTCCAAGGAGGGATGCATGGGCTTTTTGGCCAGTGTTTCCAGGAGGCTCCGGGCTTCCTGCTTCTTCCCCACTTCCCCCTGAGTTCACGGACATTGAAGTTTCTGAAGGTTGGCGTCACTGGAAGTCTGACCACAAACAAGTTGGCTGTTACTGTATTTGAAAACCCAGTACCTTTGGCAGCTCACCTCTAACCAGTAAAATAAGAGGATTCCATGGTTTCAGCAGTTGTCCTGGTTATTTGCCTATTTAAGTGAATGATGGGTGCTTGGCATTGTGACTGAGAAGATGAAATTGTACTGGATGGATTCATAGGGATGAAAATGAATTGGCACAATTGTTTCACATTTTTTATATATTTTAAACCCAAACAACAGCACCATATGGGCACACAACACACACCTTATGTCCAGGGGGAAACAATCAGCTTACTGACATAGTCATTCCAGAGCTAGGGCTCCAAACTGTAGGCTGCAGATTCCCAGTGGGCGTGGAACGTTACTGCAAGGGGTCTGGGAAACCTGCAACCCACAGCTTTATGGGTTGTAGACTGCATAGGAAATTCTATGTTTGAAGAGTTTGAGATCCTAGGGCATTCAGAAGATCCCACTTGCATGTACCCAGAATTTTATATTCCCCAGGAATATAGCAGAGGAATATTCTGATATCATATTTACCTTTCACCATCTCAGAAATCACAGTTTTAAAAACTCAAAATTCATCACTATAACCATGTTAAAGCATACAATTCAGTGGTTTCTAATGCATTCACAGTGTTGTGCAGACCATACCACTATCTCACTCCAGAACATTTCCATCATGCCAAAAGGAATCCCGTATCTGTTAGCAGTCACTACTGATTCTGACCGCCAGCATCACCTGGCAACCACTAATCTACTTTCTGTCTATGAATTTGCTTCTTCTGGAAATTTCATATAAACAAAATCAAACAATGTATAGTCTTGTGATTCGCTTCTTTCACTTAACATAGTGTCTTCAAGATTCATCCATGTTGTAGCATGTATCAGAACTGCACTCCTTTTTATGGCTGAATAATGTGTTATTATATGGATATACCATATTTGGCTTATCCAGTCATCAGTTGCATCAGTTGATAGATATTTGGGTTGCTTCTGCTTTTTGGCTATTATGAATAATATTGTTAGGCTGGGCGCAATGGTTCACACCTGTAATCCCAGCACTTTGGGAGGCCGAGGCGGGCAGATCACCTGAGGTCAGGAGTTCGAGGCCAGCCTGACCAACATGGAGAAAGCCCATCTCTACTAAAAATACAAAATTACCCAGGCGTGGTGGCACATGCCTGTAATCCCAGCCACTAGGGAGGCTGAGGCAGGAGAAACGCTTGAGCCCAGGAGGCAGAGGTTGTGGTGAGCCAAGATTGTGCCGTTGCACTCCAGCCTGGGCAACAAGAGTGAAACTCCATCTCAGAAAATAATAATAATAATAATAATATTGTTATGAACATTTGTGTACAAGTTTTTGCGTGAACATCTATTTTAAATTCTCTTGGAATTGCTGGGTCATATGGAAACTCCATGTTTAACTTTCTAAGGAACTGCCACAATCAGCTTTTATTTCTTACAAAACCCAAAGTAAAAAATTATATATACTAAACAGTCAGAAGCCTGGGCAAATCAGTTACTCATCAGATACCAAGATGCAGCACTGATTTGCGGGAGTTTTTAATCACAAAAAAGGTTGTTTCAGAGAAATGGCTGTGAGGTGGAGAGAAAATAAAGGTGCTGTTTTTCTTTTTAAGATGAAAATGAATTTAAATCTGGTTCATCTCTAAGTTTTTGTTTGAATGGCCAGCTCTTGTGCAGCCAGTGGTCTCAGAACATTCAGGCAAAGTTCCTCCCCAGGAAATTTGCACAGTCGAGGAAACTACCATATTTCTTAGCTGTCCAGTAGAGTCACATTCGTGGGGAACAGAGGGTCTCTGCAAACCTAGGATGTAACTAAGAGAGGAGCATGTGCTTAGGGTTGGAATAGGTCTGCCTCCAGTCTTTCCAGGGCGTAAATCTTGTCAGAAAACACACAGAGTAAGAAAATCCCCAAAAGCAATTTGAGTTAATGGGAAAGAATCTCATGAAATGGAAGCGGCCGAATAGATTGCTAGGCACTGAGAAAGCATAAGGCTTTGAATGATCCATAAAAGCTATAGGTTTTCCCAAATACCGCATGTTCTCACTCATAAGTGGGAGTTGAGCAGTGAGAACACATGGACACAGGGAGGGGAACATCACACACCAAGGCCTGTTGTGGGGTGGGAGGCAAGGGGAGGGAGAGCATTAGGACAAATACCTAATGTATGCAGGGCTTAAAACCTGGATGATGGGTTGATAGGTGCAGCAAACCACCATGGCACACATAACAAACCTGTACGTTTTGCACATGTATTCCAGAACTTAAAGTACATAAAAAAAAAAAAACTTTGAACATGGAAAAAATAATTCATAAAAAAAAACTATGGGTTTTCTCCCTAGAAAAACCCATACATCACAGCATTATTCCAGCACTTTCATAAGGTCCTCATATCACCCCTGAAGCCTATCTGTGGCCCCCTGTGAGTCTACATGAGTAGAGAGAGAACTGAAATCTACAGATTACCTGCAAACTTCATTTTAGGCTGTAGTTGCAAACCGTCCCAAAATTCCCCCATGAAAGCAATATAGAAAGCCCACGGGTTTTTTTGTTTGTTTGTTTGTTTTTTGGGGAGGGTCTCAGCTCACTGCAATCTCCACCTTCCGGGTTCACGCCATTCTCCTGCCTCAGCCTCCCATGTAGCTGGGACTACAGGCGCCCGCCACCATGCCCGGCTAATTTTTTGTATTTTTAGTAGAGACAGGGTTTCGCCAAGTTAGCCAGGATGGTCTCAATCTTCTGACCTTGTGATCCGCCCGCCTTGGTCTCCCAAAGTGCTGGGATTACAGGCATCAGCCACCATGCCCGGCTGCCCACGTGTTTTTATATCAGATTAATTTACGAGAAGAATGGCCTGGTTTTCATTTGCCTTCTATTTGTGCACCATTATTAATTTCAGTAACCGAAATGAAGGGAATAAAAAGAAAAGTAAAAGGTAAAAGCTTGTATTCCCAAACCAGAGAATCTACACTGAAATCAAAGTCTAATGCTTTCTTTTTTTGGCTAAACCTTGTTCCATTTTAAATTGACCGTACCTTCCCTGGTGAACAGAGAGAGAAGAACAGAAAGAAATTTCAATTTTTTTTTTTTTGAAGGACTACACTTTAACAGATTTTCAATCTGTTGGATTAGCTTTTTTAGAATGTTATGCATTGCCAAGCTATGCTTTTTGGGAAGAAGTCTCTTGATTTTTTCAAGTAATCATAGTTCATCTTACCTTTTTCAAATAAATCTGATCTATTTTTTGTGACAACTACTATGTTTGGGGACCTAGTGAAGCCCAAGGTTTTCATGAATTACACCTCAATTCAGCCATCAGGATTAACATGTTTAAACTCCAGTTGGACAGCCCACTGTTAGCTGATACTTAATAGAAAATACCTGACCTCTAAGTCACCCATCATGTGTCCCCTATTTCAACAGCACTACCCTTATCTCTCAGTCAACCAGGCCATAAAGGGTTAAGATCACTAGTTTCCTTTTCAATATTAACATTTCATAATATTGTGTACAAGTGTGCATGCCGCTTATAGCACTGAACTCTATTGATCCTTACCTCTATGATCTTGCCTAATCTTCATTGCATCACGTCGATGACTAATCATAAGAGATCAGGCAGTCTGACTTCTAGGTCTGCATTTGCTACCTCTATGCTTTTCTGCCTCCATAATTATTTTGTTTATGCAATAAAATAAAATAATAGGAAAAGCAGGTTAAAATGCTGGCTCTGCAACACCAGCATGAAAGGAATTGTGTCCGCGTCTCTAATGGCAAACAGCTTAGCAATTCGAATATATCACCCCAACAACCATCATCAGAAGAAAACCCTGGGACCTGGCATAAAGCAAATGCTTGGTGTGAATCAATGGATGGCTGAGTAAATAGCCAAAACTGAATTGCAAGCAGCAGGAATGGATTTGAGAAAAATCAACAATTCACCATGGCCCTCAGACATGGGCCTTCCAACGCCTGTGCGTGCTTGCTGCAGGGAAATAGAGTAAACCAGAAGCGTAGTTTTGAAGAGAGACAGGTTACCTACTGGCACCAGCCTCTGTTGTTTACACACCGCAAGAGCCTGGAGAGGAGGCAGGTGAATCCAGTCTGGAGATCTGGGTTCCAGTTTTTTCTCTGTCTCTAAACACCTCAGTTTACCTAGCTCTATAGTGGAGGTGTTGGAATTTCAGGTTCCTTCTGTGATGATCCAAGAAATAACAGGTCTAGCAAGTGCTTTATGTAAGCCAAAAAGCGCCGGCACAAGGTTGAGGAGGCAGCACTGACCAGGTGTGTCCAGGGTAAACTCTCTGGAGGAGTGTTTCATAAATTGAACGTGCATTGGGATGTCCTGGGAATTTTGGTGAAATGAACATCCAGCTTCATGGGTCTGGAATGGGGCCTTAGTGAGGCTAACAAGCTTCCAGGTGATGCTGATGCTGCCGGTCCGCGGACCATACTCCCGAGTAGCAAGGGGGTAGAAGGGCCAAATCTGCCGGAGTGGAGGGAAGTCGGGGAGATGGGGAGAATGGAAAGAAGGACAGGAGAAGGGAAGCTGCTAGGAAGGAGAGTCCGGTGGGGGGAGGAGGGGGTTCCAAGAGGAAGAGGGAGGCTGCGGGACTGGAGCGAGGATGCGCAGACCGAGACAGGGAGGCGGGGGTGCGGGAGGCTCCGCGGCTGCGCGGGCGCGTGCTGGTGGCCTCGGCGGCGGCTCAGTCCCGGCCCGCGCCCGCGGCGCCCCAGCTGCGGCCCGAGCGGCCTGGCTGCGGGATCTGTGCGCAGCGATGGCGCGGCCGCTCCGGCAGCACCCGAGGGTCTGGACGCCGCTGCTCCTGCTGTTGCTGACGGGACCCGCCGCCTGCGCAGCCAGCCCAGCGGACGACGGTGCGGGCCCGGGGGGCCGGGGACCCCGGGGCCGCGCGCGGGGGGACACGGGCGCCGACGAGGCGGTGCAGCGCCACGACTCCTCCTACGGCACCTTTGCGGGGGAGTTCTACGACCTGCGCTACCTGTCGGAGGAGGGTGAGGCTGCGGGAGGGCGAGGGGTTGCGGGAGGGGAGACCCGGGGTGGGGGACCGAGGATGGGGGAACGAGGAGCAGGGGAGAGGGAGGGGGAGGGGGTCGGAAAAGATGTCCGTGGAGGCAGCTCTGGCAGAGGCGAGGCCAGGATGGGGAGCGCAGTGCCCAGACCTTCGCCGGCTTAGAGGAAAGGCCCAAAGAGCTGTCGATGCCTGCCGCCCGCTTTACAGATGGGGAGAGTGAGGCTGGGAGAGGGAGGGATCACCCAAGTTCTGCAAGACTGTGGATAGGGGTGGGTGCTGAGTCTAAGCTCCCCCAGTTCTTAGATCTGGCTTCCACCTTTGCCGCCTGGGGTTGGGTTATAGGGGAGGAGGCCGCCATCTGGCCAGAGCAATTGTGGGGAAGCAGAAAAACCACAACCTAGAGAGAGAGGTTGCCTTATTTCCTCCCTGTCTGTATTGACCTAAATTTGCAGTGACCAGCGCCCACCTCGTAGCGTTCTGTTCTTGCTTACTGACCCATCAGAGCTGGGTCACATCAGCCTCCCCACTCCCATCCCTCTTCTTTTATGATGCCACATATGTTATGGTCCCCTAGTGTGAGCCACCATTGTTGTGGCCTGCTGGGCCCACGGACTGGGAGTTTGTCAGCCAAGGGCCTCCCTGTAGAGCTGCTTCAGTGAGCACAAAAGCCAAGCGGATGGTGGTCAGAAGGAACGGAAACTGGCCTCTTACTTTAGCAACTTTGGGAAGTAGTGATTTTCCTTTTCTTCTGCTAAGAAGGATATCCAACAATCAAGCTGGGGTGTGAAGTGTTGAGTCCCAGAAGCTCATATCTGTTAGTGGATGTCTCTGTTGTTAGGATTAAGTTCAGCTGCATACAACAAGCAAACATTAATAGCTTCAACAAGATAAAAGTTTCTCTCTATGGAAAGAAACTGAGAAATAGGTAATCCAGAACTGGTGTGGAGGCTCCTTGGTCACCAGGGCCCCTGGATCCTGCCCTTCTGGTTCTTCACAGTTCTTAGCATGTAACTTCATGGTTCAAAATAACTGCTTGAGCTACAGCCATTATATTCACGTTCCAGACAGTGGGAAAAATGAAGCAGGAAGAAGGTCACTGACTACTTTATAAGGGGATTACTCGGAAGTTTCATGTAACAATTTTTATACTTCTTTGGCCACAACTTAATAATGTGGTTGCACATAGGTACAAAGGAGGATGGAAAGTACAGCCTATTAACTGAGACATAATATGCCCAGTTCAAAAATCAGAATTATTGTATTAAAGAAGATGGAGAGAATGGATTTGGGGAAATGTATTAACTGGAGGCTTAACTGCTGAATTAGAGATTTTTACGTATAGTGGTTTAAATAAGGTAGTTTATTTTTCTCTCTGATAAAAGTCTGGTTGGTCTGGGGCTGGTGGGAGGACTCTTCCACAAGGTCATTCTGGGACCCGGGTTCTTTCCATCTTGTTGCTCTACCATCCCCCTGAGGCTTTGTCCTCATCTGTACAGTAGAAGCCAGGTTGCTTGCATGTCCTTGTTCAAGATTGAGGGAAAGAAAAAAAGTTCAGAGCAAGTAGTTACCTTTTAGGCTGGCTGCCCACGTTACTGCTGTTCACATTCCTTTGGCAAAAACATAGTTACAATGACCTAGCTTCAAGGAAGGCTAAGAAATGTAGTCTTCTAGCTGGAGAGACATGTGGCAGAATCTGTCACTCTGGAAAAGAATAAATATCCCAAAGCCCATCTGTTTCTGAAAGCATCTAGTGTATCTTTACATTGTACACAACCTAGTGCTGCCAGGTGACTGAAGTGTAGTATGCGAGAGCTTCTATTCTGATTGGGTTCATGCATCTAACAAATGAAGGATAGGGTCAGATTCTGTACGTCCTTTGAGTCTCTCTGCAGAGAGAATGGTATGTTCATTGTATGGTCCAGAAAGTTTTATGAACATGGACATCAGGTGGGCCACAGCCATCAAGGACAGCTTTATAGAGTCAAGCTATGAAGTAGGAAAGACTTCAGTGACACAGAAGAGGGAAGGAATTTAGATGAGGTGACTGCGCAGCAGGCAGCAGGGCTTTGCTACGTGTGTACCAATCCCTAGTGTGTCTGCTTCTCCCTCCCACCATTCTGCACATAAAACTGGTTTAACCCTCCTGAAGCCTGCTTCTAACCTGTTGGCATTGCACTCAAAAGTCTGTGATGGGGCCAGGCGCGGTGGTTCACACCTGTAATCCCAGCACTTTGGGAGGCTGAGGTGGGTGGATCAGGAGGTCAGGAGTTTGAGACCAGCCTGGCCAACATGGTGAAACCCCGTCTCTACTAAAAATACAAAATTAGGCGGGCGTGGTGGTGCATGCCTGTAATCCCAGCTACTCAGGAGGCTGAGGCAGGAAAATCACTTGAACCCAGGAGGTGGGGAGGTTGCAGTGAGCTGAGATTGTGTCATTGGACTCCAGCCTGGGCAACAGAGTGAGACTCAGTCTCCAAAAAAAAAAAAAAAAAATTCAACCTGTTCCCCGAATGAATATTCAACTGCTTTATCTGAAATTTCCTCCCTGACTCAACTTCCTTTTATAACCATATCTCCGCTTCCCTCACCCTGAGCTTTTACTCTCCATTCTTCTCCTACCCTCTTCTCTCTGACAGTTTCACTTCCTCTTTGCATACAGATTCTACCACCATCTGGTGGGTGCTAGTTGGGATGTAAGTGGTGTGGGCCTATCAGAGGCAGTGCCTCTGCTAGATTACCCTGGGCCTGGGCTTCAGCCCTGTGGGTGCTGAATAGAGACTTTCCCAAGATGCCTAGAAATAAACAGTGACATTGCCTTAAAAGCGGGGGCTGAGGAGGGGTTGTCAGAGAGAGGGAAGAAGAACCAGGAGAGAGGGGTGTCCCAGAAGGCAAAGGAAAAGAGCCTGTTTCCTACCAAGGAGAGGCCTGATAGCATGAAGACTCAAAATTATCGATGGATTCAGGAGATGAGAGGTTATAGGTGGAACTCTCCTAGGATAGATTCAGTGGAGAAGGAAGGAGGGAACCTGACTGACCTTGGAGGATGTGGCAAGTGAAGAAGTGCAAGGAATGCCTTTGACTTATTCTATCAATACACTTGAGGTTGTCCATTTCTAGTGACTGGGCTACTTGTTCCCTCTGTGCAGGGTACCCCCTTCTTATGTCTCAAATAGCCATGAAACTGAGTACAAAAATCAGAAAAAAGGAATTTGAGTAATGGAGGTGGGAATGGAAATTCCACTGAAACTGAGAGAGAGCCTACTGATCATTACCTACCCTACCTAGAGACTATTTCCCCAGTATCCAGATTGCCCAAGGCCCTCAAATCCAGAGGCGGGATGCTGGCTAATTTGCTGTCTCAAAAAAAGATCACCCCCTAATGTGGTCATTTTTAAAAATTTAAGTTGTGTTTTGGTTTAACTGTGCTAGTGTTCAGAATTCTTTGAGGGTCCCACTGTCTAAGCGTATACTACTCATCCTTACAGTCTCAGCTCAACTGCCACCTCTTTCAGGAAGCCTTCCCTGATTTTCTCCTCCCACTAGGCAAAGATATGCTTCCACAGCACACAGTCTGCCATGACCCTCTTTGCTCTCTATGGTCAGGAGTTCAGATACGGTCTTAGTGCTTGAATCCTACCATTCATACTTCGTTCCCTTGAGGTTCTTAACCCGGAATCTACGTATTCAGAGCAGTGATAGAATGTGGAACAGATTACCATTTGATTATGGGCAAATGCTTATTTCTGAGGGTTCTTTGGGGAAAAACAAACCAACAAGACTGAGTTGGATGTTGGCTAAGGGTTAAGTCACAAATGAAGCTTGCTTCTCCCTGCTGCTAAGATGGCCAGGTTTGAGAAGCAGACCCTGAGTCTTAACCCAGCCAGCTACATGGATGATGTTAACTGCCTGACCCTTGGAGCCATACCCTGCCTAAGAAGGAAAAGACAGAACATCATTTGTGGTCACTTATCTTTAAGGCATAGTCATCTGACTACTTGTAAAATGTGGCTCAATCAAGGATTTTCTGACCATTGAGTTCTGATCACAGTTTTTCTTGGGAAAGAGCTAGAGAGGTAGAAATGACAGAACATGGGGCAAAGGGCAGACGTTTCATCGTCTCCCTATATCCTTCCCCCATCTACCATGGACAGTATGTGGTTATATAACTTACCACTCTACTAATCTGGAAGTTCGTTAAGGGTAACAATTTACATCTAATTTATCTTTGTATCCTTCATGAATCTAGCCTGATCATAATACCAATTAGAGCAACTTTTAATATGTGCTTACTATGCAGCAGGCACCGCTTTAAGGTACCTTGTCCATATTAATTTTAATCCTTACAGCAACACTGTGAGTTAAATACTACCATTATTGCTACTGTAGAGATAAAGAAACTGACCCACAGAAAGTTTGAATATTTTGGCTAAAGTCACACAGCTAGGAAGTAGCAGAGAACTCTGTGGATTTGTTGATGGACTTAATGGACAAGGTGGTTTAAGGTGTCCTGGCCACCTGGAATGGAGGGTCCCTGTTGACTTGCACTAGGACATGGATTGGACAGGTAGAATTGGTTTTTTGTTTTTGTTTTTGAGACAGCATCTCACTCTGTTGTCCAGGCTGGAGTGCAGTAGTGCGATCCCAGCTCACTGCAACCTCCACCTCCTGGGTTCAAATGATGCTCGTGCCTTAGCCTCCCAGGTAGCTGGGATTACAGGCATGTGCCATCACACCTGGGTAATTTTTGTATTTTTAATAGAGACAGGGTTTCACCATGTTGGCCAGGCTGATCTTGAACTCCTGACCTCAAGAGATCTGCCTGCCTTGGCCTCCCAGAGTGCTGGGATTACATGCATGAGCCACCACGTCCAGTCTAGAATTAGGTATTTTTGTGAGTGAACTTGAGAGGGTGGGTTTGGAACTGATATGGTAGACAGTTAGGGCCTACAGTTTCCTAAGCAGTGGAGTGCCACCATGAAG